CACCTTTGCGATTGCGTACATACACGGTTGGTGAAGTGAAACTGCTTGGGGTGAAGGACATGAAGATATCACGTGAAGGGACGACAACCAGGGGAACCATATACATCGCACAGGAAAATGATCCAAATCTACTGAGCAGCGACTGCATCAATCAATTTCCGGTTCTACAGATAAACCAAGTTTCCTTACCATCGGAGGTACAAACACTGCTCTAGCAATATGCACCAGTTTTTGAGGTAGCAGAGGAAAGAAAGTTCACCACTGGGCACACGACCACCATTCATCAACGCTCGGTCGTTGCCGTATACGATGCGATTGAAGGTAGAAGAGGAACTTGATCGCTTGCATAACAGCGGCATCATAGAGCGAGTAATGTTTTCGGATTGGGATACACCAATCGTTCAAGTACTCAAGCCTGATGGATCGATTCGCATCTGTGGTGACTACAAAATTATCGTAAACTACAGTATCCAGGCTGGAAAATACCCTATTCGAAAACTTGGGGACGTTCACGATCAGCTCAGTACCGGCAACTATTTTGCAACCTTAGACCTCACACACGCTTCTCAGTAGATCGAACTACATTAGAACACCAAAACAATAACGACAACCTGTACACATCGGGTCTTGTTCAGATAGTATGTATGTATGTAATCTCAGCAGTCTAGCAACTAGACACAGAGCCAACAAAAAACCACGGAGATCAGAAGATAAGGAGAGCCATCGCGTCATAATCATCGTGGCATAGTAGTTGAAGGTGGGCAACACACTTCACCTAATATGCTGCAGAAAGGAAGGAACATCTTGAAAAAGTAGAACAAAGCATTTTTAGTTTGTCTTTCACATGGTGATTTTTCTTTTTTTGTCATTTTCAATGTTTGAAGTATTACACATGTGAACCAGTACAATACTGTACACAATTCTTCAACTGATCCAGGTTGCGGGCCATGTTTTCAAGAGTGTTAAGCCATTGGCACTCCTTTTCTTTGGGTCCCCATCCTGGAAGACGTACGGATCCAACAGCAGCTAGACACGACGTCAGCGATTTCATGTGCCGTCACCAAGTGGAAGGCTGACCACCACGCGGTCGCCTCCAGCCAGGTCCTTGACGAACGAATAGAGCGCGACGCGGTAGACGCTCAGGTGCCATGCGTAGGACATGACCGAGCCATTTTAACTGGCGCAACAAAACCAGTTTGTTGAATGAAATACTTGCATTCCCCAAGATGCGACGTCGAACGTCATTACTATTAACTCGATTTTGCCACCAAACACGAGCAATTCTCCTTAAGCAACCGTTATCGAACGCAGAAAGACGCCGCATGTCTTCCACGCGAATCGGCCAGGACTCGCACACATACAACAATACTGAGCGAAGAGATGCGTTGTAAACACAGCCCTTTAGCGAGAATAAGACGTCGCGACGACGGCATAAGTGCCTCAGATTGACAAATGCTGATCGGGTTTTAGCGATGCGAAGAGAAACTGCTTTGTTAATAGTGCCGTCAGCAGAAACCCAGCTCCCAAGGTAGACGAAACTATCTACCTGTTCAAGTTGTACACCTTCGAGAGTGAGTACGGAAACAGGTGAAAGCCAATCCTTGGGCAGTACTTTACACTTTGATGGGGCGAAGCTCATGCTATACTTAGATGCTTCAACCACCAAACGATCCAGAATGAGTTGCATACCCTGAAGATCGCCACCAAGTAAAGCGATAACATCAGCATAATCTAAGTCGGTCACGCGCTCACCCAGTAGAAGCACTTGATCGAAATGTTGAAAACCTTCTAGAGCATTCGGTAGAACGTCTTCGATTGCGAAGTTGAAGAGGAATGGGGACATACGGCAACCCTGTCGCACACCATTGTTGGCAGCGAATTGCGAGGAAAGCTTGCCATAAAGCCTCACTCTGCCGGATGTATGAAGGTAAAGTGCGTTTAAGATGGCGGTGTATTTCTCTGGCACCCCATTCTTTAGTAAACAACGCCATAAAGCAGGTCGATCAACAGATTCAAAACGGCACATGTGTCTAGGAATTCAACGATATAAGGCCTTTGACAAATGTGGCGATGTTCGAGGAGCTGGCGGAGCGTGAAGATTTGACCTAGGCATACGCGGCTGGGACGGAAACTAGCTTGTTCTTTAGGTAGAACAGACTACTATTCGGGATTCATTCAGCTCTGATTATTTTCCAGCAAATGATAGCGAAAATCATAAAAGGCTTGTCTAAACTTTTTTTACCTGGGCCAAGTCCTGGTTACCAGGGCTTGACGAAGATCTACAAACTCTGTGGTTCAAGATTGAAAGTTAAAAAGTGCACTTTTGGCGCCCAACATTGAGTATTTGAGTTTTCACATCTGCGCATAGGGACTGAAGAAAACTGAGGAGAAATTTCGGACTGTTCTTGGGGCACCACAATCAAGGAATCAATATGAATTGAGGTCGTTCTTGGGGCTGCACAACCACTACTCAAGTTTTGTTCCATGATCAGCCACAATACCACACCCGTTGCAACGTTTCTTATGCAAGGTGCTGAGTGGGTGTGGTCTGAGACGGAATAATTGGCTTTCCACCAGGTTAGAGGTGCATTGGCTAGTCCACCGGTTTTGGCCCATTTTAACCCGGAAAAGTGCATGACGACGACATGTATAGCATCAATTTACGGAGTCGGAGTCGCTCTGTTACCAACTGCTGCGGGAGGAGTAAAAAAATCGGTTGCATCTGCCTCCCGCACCCTATCCTAGTGTTAGGAAGGAATACACGAGTCGAACAAGCCAGGACCCCATCGCCTCGGTCGGCTATCCAAACCCATCCGCCCTGATTGGGGCGAACAGAGAGCCAACCAGGAGAAGCGGCCAATGAACGCTAGGTTGAAGTTCTTTTATTGGCTGTAAGTTAACCTTTCCAGAGCTTTCCACGGTCGCTTTAAATATATTGTTCACGAACTTTCCAATTTACCTTTATAATGAACAGTGTGATTTGCTAATTCATTCCTGTTGCCCTGCTCGTCCGATTCGTCTTCTCTCTGTCCTGTGGGGGGCCAGCGACTTCGGATTTGATTGGGAATCAAGCGTCCATTCAGGCGAGGGGCGAACACTTCAACTAGGCCGAGGGAAATTACGCCCTAGTTGACAAGGAGCCTTTGGTTGTCGTAGTTGGGGTTAACGGTTTTCACTAATATCTATTTGGGTAAAATTTTGTAACATACATACACACAACAGAACTTACTATTAGGAATTCAAGGTGAATCAAACACCACACCTAACATGCATCGCCCTGTTGGCTTGGCTGGGCCCTACTACTTGCTGCCTATCAGTACGAACTGAAATATCTCCCCGGTAAGGAAAATCCGTGTGCCGACGCACACAGCGGACTTCTACTATGGGAAGTTCCGAGAAATACGTCGGTTTTGTAAGAATAAGTACAAGCGATATCTTGGTTGGATGATTCGTCAGTGACAGTAAGGGAAATAAAGTAGGAAATACTGAGTGACTCTGAATTATTGAAAGTTCGGAACTATATCCTTACTAGTTGACCGGATAAGCTTGACAAGGGTCTAAGAACATTCCACTGTCGAAGAGATGAACCGAGCCTCGAGTATCGTTGTATACTCGACGCTTCGTCAGACAGGACCGACAAACAATCCCACAGAAACTCCACATGAGTCACCAAGGAACTTCAAAGATGAAGGCACTAGGGCGCAACTACCTGGTGGACCGGAGTCGGTTGGGAGATAAAACAAATCGTACAACCTTGCACTGGTTATCCAATAATAAATCATCCTCCCCACCGTCTGTGCCAATGTCTCCATGACATTGGCTCACTCGCCCGTGGGACAGAATGCACATTGACTTCTGTGGACTTATCAGCAGTTCTATAGTGCTTGCTGTAGTGGAAGCACATTCCAAATGGATCAAAGCTCGGGCAACCAACCCATGACTGCGTCAACCACTCAGCACCTCTTAAAAAAGATCTTCACTGCGCATGGTGTACCATGTATAGTTGTTCCAGATAACGGATCCGCATTTACCAGTGACGAGTCCGGACAATTCTTGCGTCAAAATGGAATCCAGCGCGCTCCCTCAGCACCACATAATCTTACGTCCATTGGTCTGGCCGACAGAGTGACTGCGACAATCAAATACGGCGTGGCCAAGCAACAGTCCGGAATTTTAAAAGCTCACATGGATAAATTTCTTCCTACCGCACACTAGCATGGAGTAGCCACCGTATGAAGTTCCGATGGGGCGACGTCTGCGCACTCCTTTGGATCTGAATAAACCCGATCTACATAGAACGCTCGTTAAACGCCCATCCTCGGTGGAGCGACGCTATATATGAGAACGAAGGATGTTGTGGTTGAGGTAAGTGATGGAATGCATGTTAAAGTGAGGCTAACGGATAAAAACGGGATCCGAAGGGTTACGAGATCAATAAGAGGTAGTGCAGTTGAGGCAGAGTTGGAGGACGGACGAACAATTCGTCATTTGGAACATGTGCGACTACGGTCTGTGAGCTCAGAAGATGAACACTTAAACTGTACATCGTATACACTTCTAAAAAAGCACTGCAAGCATTGCTAAAAGAAAACGACGCTTTGTCACCTCCTATATAGCCATGGTGATCAGTTCATATGAAACGGAGGATAGAACGGAATCAAGCCGGATAAGCTTGATCTGGCTGTGGAGGACCGTTGTGATGGATTATCACGAACCGCGGTTTGTCAGGCGATGCATGTGACTGGTGCGTGAATACAAGCGCGTGTCAACAAGCAAACCATGACTTGGTCGTGTGTACACATTACGAACGTGTCTATCATGTGTCGTGTTCATCTTATAATAACCTTAAATCCTTTCATGCTGGTTTGTGTTTTTATTACAGTTAGTGGGTGAAAGCAGTCTTGGAGCCCGACACAACCAAAAAATGACGTAGAAGTTATGCTTATATCGTAATAACTGCAGGGATGAAAATCTTCGGTACTAAGTGAAAGTGTTAAGTACGGTACTATACTTAAAACAATAGCCTACTTCGCGTTCTGAGGATACCACTTAAGGATGGGAACTGATTACACCGTTTGATCACGTAGCCAAATTGGGTGTGCTAATGGGATCAGGTGGAATAGTAGCAAACCGCGACTAACAGCAGATTGAAATGCGCCGCTTTACTAATGCACGTGATTGCGATTCATTTGTTAGCAGGTATGACCGTTTGGAAAATGATATCATCGGTACCCATATATCGTTGCTTCACCACAGTGAAGCTGAAAGCGGTTGAACAAGAACTAGAATATTTCAGAGTCCCCGAAGCTATGAGAGAGCGTAGAATTGAACACGGGGTGAACAGATTGCAAGCCAAACAGCTGGACCTCTACTCAACTGCTGTGTCGAAGGTTGGTCGAGCAGTCCAGGAGCAGAAATAAGACAGCTAATCCATACTTTTTGCAAGCGAAAAGAATAAGAACTTAAATCACAAGTCAGCACAGAGAATAGTAAAGAAAAAGTAAGCGACGGCCAACATAAAAGGCACGAGTTAGCTCAAGTGATGATTGACTGAATATAATGTAAATGCGCCATTTGTGTACCCCAGGAGCAGTGTTCGATCCTACAGGATGGACGATCTACCCTTTCTGTTTCCGCTAAACGCCTACACATCCTCCATTACCGTGTGTTCTCTGGCAGAGTAGCATCGGTTTACCATCGTCGGGCTCGCCATGGTAAGCAAATTCACGGCGTTTGCTGCCAAACCTAGACAGCGCCAACGTTGCCGGGCGAGCGTGTCACGCATGCTGGATTCGATCAGTGGGTAAATATCCAAAGTGGAGCTAGTTTCAAGACGAATCCAAGGATGTTCTAAAGATTGGTCTAAAGATGCTCTCTCTTCTGGGTCAGGTTTCAGCAGTGATGCGATAAAATTCTTCGCTGACTTTGAAATGTGATCCCAGTGAGGATGATGAAAATGATACGTACCTGACATGATTTGTTTTTTTATTTCGTTGTCATCTTGATTGACGGAATAAAATGGTGGATATCCACAAAGAAGTATGTAAGCCACCACACCGATACTCCAGTTGTCAACCTCAGGTCCGTAACCGGATTTGGTAAGTTTGCTTTTTAATAGTTCTGGTGCGGAGTAATCCACTGTTCCACAATTCGTCATCATTTTCGGTTGAATCTCTCTAGACAGACCAAAGTCGGTGATCAAAAGCTTCGAGTCATCACTCTGCTTCTCGAACAGTATGTTTTCTGGTTTGATGTCTCGGTGAACATAGCCTGCAGCGTGCATGTACCGCACTCCGGACAGCATTTGTGCTATGATAATAGCGGCATCTCTTTCACTGAACTTTCCTCTCTTTATTATTCGATCGAACAGCTCACCGCCCTCTGCTAACTCCATAACAAGGTATATTTGATCCGTTTCATCAACCAAGTCATATAGTTTCACTAAATTTGGGTGTTCCAATGCTCGCATTATAGAAGCTTCACGATACATTAATTTTTTAATTTTCTTCTCTACTTCTTTTGGGGAGTATTTCTGATAGGTCGGCTTTCCTCTATCAACTCGCTTGATGGCCACATACCTCCCAGTCTGTAGATCTTTCGCTTTAAACACTTCACAGAAACCACCATCACCAAGTCTGTTAATAATCTTGTAGCGATCACTTTTCAGTGGATCTATTTTCGCTTTCCGAGACAGCTCACGTTGCTGGGCTGTTTTACGGCTCATCACTTACTGTATTATTTCATGCATTGGCTATCCATCTGTGTAGGGCAATGCAGCAAGTATTGTTTGAATGCGCGGTGCCTTCATTGATTTTCACATTGATCCGGTCACCCGCAATTCACTGAAATATTCACAAAACGACCTCGACGCATACCATTAAGTTACAGTTTTACTGAGAACGAACGACCAACTGTCAACAACCGGTTCGATCCATTTGCGAGAACCGTAATAAACTAGCAACAGAAAACTTCAACGGAATGTCAGCGATGTGGATGCTTCTTTATTCAGTCAAGACCGGCATTTCCCACCTTACTGGTGTTATATATCATCGCACGTAAACCCATCACCTTTTCACTACAGAATTCAAAACAAGCCCCTTGTTACCGGATCCACGTTAGGTGGAGAATGCTAGTTTACCTTGTTGCACAACCAATCCGTTCTACGACGAAGTGAGTGCGTTTGGTTTTTGTTCACACTATGGTACTCAACACCGAACCAGGTGTTAAACACTCAGTACTCAGTACTTAAGCACGAAAACACAGATTACGTTTCGAGGCAAGCATGACGGCTTATTTGCGTTGCGCCTAAAATGAATTCGTTTTCTGGAATGACCTAACGAGAAAAGATAAAACATCACGTATTCAGGTCCACGGACGATTGAGACCATCAGACTTAGAATGAGAACAGCACAGTTCAAGAAGGGTCAGTATGCACCCAGAAAGGTGAATATTTGCCAAGGAGTAATTCCGCAGGTGGAATGGGAGGGCGCTACGATTTGAAGGCCCCATATGTGCGCCAGTTCACATATCCTGAAACAGCTAACCCCGCAGAGGATTAAGAGGTACACCGACCGGAAAATAGTGAAAATCAACGCAAAATTGAGCAATGAGTCCCCACGTCGATCATGTCATTGCAGAACAAGTTGCTGTTATCGCTGACGCCAATTTAAATGTCAAGTAGTCAAAAGATTTTTACAGTCTGTAACAGTAAACTCAAAGATATCCTTATTTCAAGTGTTGCCTATCATGACGCACCACTCGCCGTAAGGCGTGAATTGCAATTTCGTGCAGCTAAAATCGCGGAGATCAGCCCCACTCCATATGACCGATGTGCATATCACCACACCAAGCGGCTGTGCGCACTTAACACTCGCAGTGGAAATTGGAAGAACCGCCCGCTAGAAATGCACTGCATGTACGCTGACCTACTTGTCCCGCAACGTGGGTGAGACAGATCGTTTAGAAGTTCGTTATACCCGCATATGATTTTGGCCTACGCGTCAGACTGAGTATAGGCTTCGACCCGGTCTTACCATCTGGCGGTAGAGATTAAAATGTCGGATGCATATACAGTCACTTTCGGCCACATTTTGAAAACAATTCCTTCTTTTTTGAAACAGAGCGAAAAACCTTTGCTGACTTCGTGGAGTAACTTCCAATATTGAATCCGTCAGCTTTAGCAAGTAAGATCAAAATTCTACGACAGTTCCAATGTGACGGTGTCAATTTACACCATCTTACCACTAATTTCAAATATTGAGAATGATCGAGGAAACTCCGTTACTCCACTAGGTGATCGCTGATAACTCAGACTGGACTACTGGGGAATAATATCTTTCACAAGGTGGCGATACGCTAAGTGTGAGAAAACGCGGTCACTCGCCCGTCAAAGATAGAATCTCAAAAAAATATCAATGGTTTACAAGCACTCACTCGAAGGCGCATAGTTGAACACGTTATCACAACTAAGAAGGGCATCGAGGGTACGAAACCGTTTGAATTTACCCTTTGAGCGCTCACCTGGATACTGACATCAGATACGGTACGCTGGAGCTGTGAGAAAGTTTCTAAGTGCTATATCGTACGTAGCCAATCTCAGTGGACGTCATGTCTATCGGGACCAACCCTGCCCTCTGCAATGTTTGTAGCTTGCATGGCGGTGGAGGATAAGACGCGCTAAATCGTAGTTAGCGTACAAATCATGATGGTCCGAAGGAGTCACCCGTGGCCCAGTGGCATGGGCTGCTGAATGCGGGACCTTTGAATTGGTCGCTGCCGCTCTCCCCAAAACATCGCTTTTTGCGTTATTTGCTGCAAACGTATCAATTTTGTACGAATATATTGATGAATTCTTTGAGGGAACATTTTCAAGGTCACTGAGGCTGCGCAACTCCACCGATTCTTTGAAAAAGTATCCGAGAAAATGCGCACAACTCGCAGGTTGCTGTTTTCATCCAAATGAAGCGAACTAGCAATAAACAAAACCAAAGTTTGTCTCGTCAATTGGATGAAGAATCTCACAACTCGTTTTATCAATATGCAGTCGTTGCTTAAAGATGTGAGACTGATTAATTGACATCCGTGAACTCTTTACTCTTTCTCTTTTCAAAATCGTGAAACTCCCATGTTTACTGATGCCATTTATTACATTGTGGTAGATAGTGTAACATGCTAAAAATGCATCCATCTGGATGCATGAAGCTTTTCTTGACCTGACGTGACACGCTGACCGGCGGTGCAAGCCACTGGTGGTCATGGATTCGAATCCTGATGGATCCGATGGATGCGCACTATTGATGATGCCCAACAGGCTGAAACTGCAGTCTAGTGCATTTCTAGGCATGTGGATGACTATCGTATTTAGAAGCTGGTACGGCGAGCTCTCAACCAACTGCATTTTGCAAGTACCTAAGAGGTGCGGGAAGCTGTTTACTGAGACAAGTACTCATAACGTCTTGGCCCTTCACGATGCCACTAATCTGTAGGTGCAGATTATCGCCATGAGTATCTGTTCGAAAGGCACGTATAAAATCGGACTCTTCTTGTGATACCTGCATCTTCATACGTAGGGCGTTTACTTTGCGCCATCAGTTTGCCAGTTCCTATCAAACTACTCGCATCTGGCGTAGTAGTAGATTCTTCTGAGGAAACAGAGTTTAACGCCTGTATGTTGGTTATGCAAGCTTCAACCGAATAGGCCCAAGCAAGGATAAAACGTTCAAAGCAGTGGACAGTTATGTTGAGAGTAAAAAAAAGATTGCTCTAGACATGGTTGGAAACTGATCCCAAAATTCATCCCATACCCTGCACTAAAGTTCTACATGCACTGATAGGAAGCATAGATGGTTAGATACATAAAGTCGATGGTAACAATAAGGGGCAACACTGTAAAACACCGCCACTTTCCAAGTACAGTCCAACCTGTCATGGCGATCACCTTCCCATGGAGACCAGTCAAAAATAGCTTCAAAGATTTTCCTATATTTTCTCATTGGTCTTAACCTGTCTATGGCGTCCACCTGTTGAATGCAACCGCGAGCACGCTCTTGTGGTCCTCAGGGGTTCTAGAACCTGCTCAAGGCGACCACCAGTAGCACGAATGGTCGAGATTGGGAGTTGAGGTGTCATGTAAGTCTGCCACGGTATCGCATAAATAGCTTAGATTTCGTTTCATGGTGTCATAATTGCCCCGGAAACCACATGTCCTGTTCTGATTCATTATTGTACAGGTTCAAGCATTCTGTGTTTCCTTATACGATTACTCATGGGCTTGTTAATTCTTCCGCTGTTGCAAGCGATCAGTTCACTTTGGGTAACTCCCCCAACACCATTGGTTTATTCTCACCCCATCGGTCACACTGCTTTCACACCATACTTGTCCGAGTATCACCCTATGTAACTAACGCATGTATCCCGCTATGGGCTGTGCAGTGAACCAATCGGATACGGCCATGTTACACAACAAATAGCGGTGAGACTCCCCTTGCGCACTCTGGGCTTTATGATACTGTTACACAGTCGCATATAAGTCGCTCTTGGGTACCGTTTCATTCTAGAATGATTAAGTACTGACGTGGGACTTGGTACAATGTAGTATGATTATTGCACCTGCCTAGAACGGATGAGCCACATCTAACCTACCTTTATTGGGCATATATAACTCAGTTGTACTTGGGGATGACTTCACGTGTTACCCATTACAATGTTGTACTCATCATGGCCTATGCTATCCTTGTTACCTTCTCAAGTGGAGTCTAGTATGGTGACATACCGAGATGGTGGGCTACGGCATCTTCTTCTTCGTCCGCGATTTGCATCATTATGGAAGCTCCATGGTATTACTCACCAGACTATGCTACTGACTTTCTGCTCCTTGAAATCGATTTGTAGATTACATAACCATATCATGCCTAGCTGCCCAATGCTATAACTAGCACAACGCTTAGAGAGCAGGTGTATGGTTCAGTCCATCCATGAGCTCATTCGTATTTGACGTGGGCGCGGTGTTTCCGAGGGAATTGTGTGCTTGATACGGATCAATGCTAGGGGGGCAAATTATTGAGTATGTTTCCAGTTCGATGGAAACATTTGAATCAAAAGGTTACCAGCGCTTGGCCGTTTACAGTATGCCTAAAGTGTGAAGTTTGACATTTGGAACACGATGCTCAACGCTTGTCCCTTGTGTGACCAAATTGGACTATGCATTCTAAGAGAAATTTCCCCAGGAATTCTGTGGCAAGCGAACAACCCCGACAATTAACCGAGTAGTGATTATTACGGTTCGCCAGTTCATGTTCCACTCCGCAGGTTAGTGATGAGAGCGAGCATAGATACATTTCCAGTTGTTCATGAGCCATACTGAATTTACCGGGACTTATGAAAATGCACGTACTAAACGGTTGGAAAGCGGGAGCTCAGAGACGCCTACCAGAAGTTGCATTGCACATGGCCAATCTTTTGGATGGACTAAGTAAAAGGTTAAATCTAAGGGGAATGGTGCGTCAGTGTCTTAGTATATTACATCGGAAAGGGATCGGTGTTTGGCGACAATCGTTTTATGAGCACTGAATGGCTGCACCAAAGACGTAAGATACAGATTATCACATATCGGTATGTACAAACGGTTGAGTTCTTGGACATTTGCAAAACAATGTGAACAATTTGGAAAGTTGCATGTTTGACACCGAGTAGCGGGACTTAGTTGAGGTCACCTTTCAATATCAAAGGTTGTGCATCAATTGTTCTTTGAGTAACTGCACATACCTCGGGGAGCAGATGACCGAACCGGTTGGTGACACAGAGAGCCAGAAATGGACACTCCATCACATTCGCAT